AAGAGGGAGAACCGCTATCTAACAGCTTGCAATCAAGATTGCGGCGGAGTTTCCAGAAATTGAAGCAATTGTATCCAATTCCATTAGCAGTGAAGAAGAGTCTCGAGGAGATTCAACAAATCTTAGTGGAGGGTATCCTAAAGGTTTATCTTTCACAGGGTGTTCGTATTGCCGACAAACATCTTGAAATTGTTATTCGACAGATGATTTCAAAGGGCCAAGTTCTTGATGTGGGGGACACAGGTTTGTTCCAAGGCGAACATGTGAGATTAGACCGAATTGAGCGCATAAACTTGGCGACCTATGGTGAAAAGGCGGACTATGAGCCAGCTGTGTTAGGTATTACACAAGCCTCTTTAGATTCTGAGAGCTTTATCTCGGCGGCTAGTTTCCAAGAAACGACACGAGTCTTAAGCCGCGACACCATTATAGGGAAAACCGATTTTTTGCGGGGATTGAAGGAACGTGTAGTGTTAGGGGATCTTATCCAAGCTGGAACTGGCGTAGACGATAACATAAATTATGGCCTTCTTTTTGGAATTGCTCCAACTTATCAGGGCACTGTAAGCAGCGTATTTTAACTTAATGTTGCGCCGGACAGCACATGGACAAAGTTCAGAAGATTTGATTTCGGCACGGTTCGCCAATATACTAATGAATATTGATGTAAACCTTGTCTGTTTTCACTCGTTTACCATTGCCCTGGACACGCAGAGACAGGGCTAAATGACCTCGAATCGCGGCTTGCTGGACTGGTTAATGCTGGACTGCTTAATGCAGTGTTGCTGTAAGCCTTGACCCACTTGGTTGAATTTTGTACAAGCCACGTCTTCAGCCCCTACGGGCTCCATAGGTGTAAGCCACATAGGCCTCACAGCTGAGGGGGGGGAACCCCCCCAAGGCGTTTCGCTACGCTAAGCGGGTGATCATTGAACCCAGTCAGCAATTCGTTAGAGGGGTTGAATCCCCTCTTGCATCCCATGCATCCTTACAGGGATGCATGGGATGCACGGCCTGGCTTGATAGGCCTCCCAGGGGTTCGGCGTTTCGCTGGCTAACGAACCCGAGTGCTTATTGGCTCTTCTTCATTCAACGGAGTCTGGGGTTGGTGACAAAAACTAACATAATGCATAGCAAAGCAATGCAATCCCCAATCCGAGGTTACACTATAAGAATGCCAGAATCGGTGAAACAGCAAATTAGTTATAGAGAGGAGTTTTAAATGTCTGGTGCTACGGGAGAACGTCCTTTTTCTGATATCTTGACCAGTATTCGTTACTGGGTAATTCACAGCATTACTATCCCATCTTTGTTTATTGCAGGATGGCTTTTTGTTAGTACAGGTCTTGCTTATGACGTGTTTGGAAGCCCTCGCCCTAACGAATACTTTACTGAAGATCGGCAAGAAGCTCCGCTTATTACTGACCGCTTTAATGCGCTCGAGCAAGTTAAGCAATTGTCACAAGTGGATTAACAATTAATCTAGCAGAACATTTCGCCCGACGGAAGGCCAAACCTACATGAGGCCTCGCTAAAGACATAAGCTATCCGGCAAATGCACAAGTGCTGGCAATGTGCACAGAGATCTTTGCAAATCTGTAGGAGACTACTTAACGCATGGTAGTGCTCAACCCAGACTTGCGCCAACCCTGGTTTGAAGAGGCCGTCTTGCCCCTCGTTCACCTAGGTTGTGGGGATTCTCCGCCCTATCCGTCCGACGGGATGACGTCGGTTATCTTTATTTTCTAAGAACTGCTTCAAGCATTATGGCTGCAAAGAAATCATCAACCTATCCTATTTTTACTGTGCGCTGGCTTGCTGTCCATGCGCTAGCTGTGCCTACTGTGTTCTTTTTAGGCGCAATCACAGCTATGCAGTTTATTCAACGTTAGAAAGTTTTTAAAGGGAGTAACTATGGCTAAACCCAATCCAAACAAACAATCAGTTGAATTGAATCGTACCAGCCTCTATTGGGGCCTTTTGTTAATTTTTGTGCTTGCTGTGCTTTTCTCGAGTTACATCTTCAATTAGACATTTCCCCTCCCGTTCAGCGAAACGCCGAACCCGTCCGACGGAACGCCTTGAGGGGGTTCCCCCCCCCCCCTCACCTGTGAGGCCTCTTCAACGAGCGGGGAATAATAAGTTTTATCTGATTGAATTTCATCAGAAGCTCTGTTGGTACAGGCGTTTAAAATAGTCATTTAAGGAAGAAGGAACAAATGTCTAACACTGGAACTACTGGACGTATCCCATTGTGGCTTGTTGGCACAGTTGTGGGTACTGCAGCCATTGGCTTGCTAGCTATATTTTTTTATGGGTCCTATGTTGGTCTAGGGTCCTCGCTTTAATCTGTATCGTTTTAAATCATTTTTGCCACCGTTAAAGGTTACCTGATCGCTTCACCGATTGTTTAGCTAAACAAGGTTTTAGGCCTCAAGAGGTCAAAGTGGTTCAGCGTTATGGCCGTCCACCTCAGGTATCGCACTACGATGCATGCAATTAAGTCCCCCTCTTCCGGATGAGATGAGAGGGCTCGTTAGGATGGGGCAGTTGCTTTGCATGGGTAGGGACTCTTACCATGCAAAGCAACTACCCCCTCGATGGGCCGGGGGCAGAGGCGTGGGGGAGGTTCCCTCCCCAACCATAACCCTTGCATCCCTTGCACCCCTAAAGGGGTGCAAGGGATGCAAGGCCATCGAGCCCCTAACCCAGTCAGACGAGTGAACAAACTAATAAAAATAGGCTTCAACCTACCCGAAGATAGCTTTTAGGATTTCTCAGATACGCCGACAAGAAGAGAACAGAATTTGTTCAATAGGATCTCCTAAACTGAGTTTTCTACGGACAAACTATTAGCTTTTTTTAGATAACCCGTAAGTTGTTGACAACTCAGACCAATGGCACTAATAGATAGAGCCTCCCATTGACTCCACTCTTCAGCTGATAAGGTGCGAGAGTGGAACTTGAATCCACGGCGTGTGGATTATGAGCCGGACAAGACAACGATTTCTCTTCTCCGCTTTCTTTTCTGGGTTAATCCACAAGAAACTAATTATAGTTACGCAATGCAATAATTTAATTCTATTCACTGTATCTATTATCTAGAATGGGGTAGATTAAAAATCCTGCAAGCAGGGATACTTTCCAGATAAAGTATACTATCCATTTAACGTTTTATTGAATGCCCACCGGCAGATAGAGTCTACCTCTACTATTGAGTGCCTACTAGGGAATAGAGTCTACTGATGGAAACAAATTGTCACAAATGTCAATAATTTATTATTGTAAACCTCACTTATTTATTATCATCAACCTCATTGATTTCATGATTTAAGCCTGGTGTGGGCAACTTTTTTAAGGGTGCTTATAGTAGAGGTAGCAAGCCCCGTTTGAGGGGCACTATTGGTTAGTAGAACCTATAATCGCCCCGTTTGAGGGGATACCAGCGGTAAGACGGCAACTAGTGTTGCAATGTCAGCTAAAAAGGTACAACCCCTATTACAAGCACCATAGAAGCCTCAAATTCGCTGCTCCCTTCCCACATCGTTACAATCCAACTAAAGGTCTTGATCCCTGTTGTCACGGGGATAATGATTATTGCCGCGGTAAAGTACGTTCGAGTATCACTGTCTAGTCCAACAGTATAAATGTGATAAGCTCAAACAATAAAGCAATGGAGCAATGAAGCTCAACACGCCAATAGACAGCATGGTGTAGACGATGCCCAGATATCCAAAGAAGAGCTTCTTTGAAAAAGTCGATATGACATGGCTTATAATACCAAACCCAAGCAAGATGAAAATGGAGCTTTCTAGATATCCAAAGAACCTAAAAAGATACTGTTTCAGTATCGGGT